CGCTGGCCCTCCCAGCCGGATCGGCGTGCGCCTGCGCACCGGAGGCCGGAGGAGTCTTACCCTAATGTAAGATGGTGGCCCGTCTGGCTGTGGAACCCACCGAAAGCTGAGAGTCTCTCTCTCTCGGCCGTAAAGGTCGGACTGGCTGAAGCAACCAGGCCTGGTTCTGAAGAGTTTTGTCCTCGACACTCGCTCAGTGGTCTCTCTTGAGAACGCGGCAGCGCGTGGAGTCGGCTAAGGGAAAAGCGAGGCACGGCAGTCGGGTGAGTATACGGGGCTGGGCTTAGGGGAAACCCGGGGCTGACCGGCTACTAGAGCGCGGAGGCTTCGCGGGGATTGTGCAGGCCGCACCCCCCTTCCTCCCCCACCCCCCGCCTCCCCTTCAGCCTCCTCCTCTTCCTCGGCCTTTCTCCTCCTCCTCTTCCTCCCTCTCCCCTCTACGCCACAGCAATTACCACCAGGAAAAGGGAATGGGAAGGCGGCAGCGCCACGGCCAGCGCAGACTCCTTGGAGAATTTCCTTACCCGGGGATCCGAGGCGTCTTCCCGTCTCCAGCTCTCCCTTGCAGTTTTAGAGGGACAGGGTTTTGAGGTCTCAGTGCTCTTGCTTCCCCAGCCCCCTTTCTCCTCTGACGTCCTTTCCTGCTGGCCCAGTCTCCCAAGACCAAAGCCATCTCTTCCACTGTGACCCGTGTTGCTGCTGCTCTTTGAGCCTACTGCTTGGTGCCCACCGGTCCTGCTGCTGTGTTCTTCTTCACTGTAGCAGTTTGGAGTTAGTCCTTGTCCCCTTGAAGCTTATAGCCAGACCTCAGTGTGTTTGCCACAGGAGCGTCTTCCGACTTGCAGCTTTTGCCTTCACCACATCTGTCATCTAAAAGCTTCGCCTTAAGTATCTAGTTGCTATTGTTGTTGCTCTTTCTGACCCACCTGTTTCCCAGCCTTCTTGAGAATTGTCCATTCCTTCCCCTCTTTCCTATACAGATTCTTTCAACACTTCCAGAAAAAGGGATGCCCCGTGTTGGTCCTTGAAAAGTAGAAGTTGGGAAGTGAATGAAGTAAGGTAGGATACTATCAAACATTTGAGTGAAGATCTTTTATTTAGGCTGCTCAGAACGGAACATTTTCATTTTTGCTGTCAGTGATTTATTTTGTTGATTATTCGCTCTGTTGGGACGTGAGTCCCCGCTCCCCTTTCATTTTGGACCTCTTCCATGCTACCAGGCGTTCCTCTGAATTGCCTTTCCTCAGGCTCTGATCATACCAATAAATATTAGCCTAAGCATTTCAAAATGAGATAAATCTGGCATGCGCACAAATTCATCTGTGAACTCCACAAGCGAATATAAATGATATTTTGATTGTATTTGGGTTACAGATCCCGTCTATATTGAGAATTGATTATAACTTGAGTTATATTAATATTCAGTTTAATGTATGACATATTTATGGTTTGAGTTGGAATTTCCTCTAACTAATAATGGGATTTACTTAGTATTTTTGGATTTGGGACGTTTTCTCTTAGACATTTTCAAGATAGTAGTTATCTGAATAAATGGTCTTGGAGAATATATTAGCTATGTATGCAAAAAGAGAAACTGATATTTCTTTTGATAAACTTAAATCTCATTTTTCTACAGAAAAGAAAGGGGCTGGTAAAAAGCAATCACAGAGCTCTTTCTTATACATGCATTTAGTGGTGTTCACTCTTTGTTATCTATAGTAAAATGCAGAAAACTAGAAGCTTATGATGTACCTGTTTTAGTGAAAGCAAAATTGAAATGTGACTAATAAGGAACTTTTGCTATAACAGGCAACTTTGAAATGAAGAAGTAGGAGAAAAACAAACAGGATTATGTAGATCAGATACACATACGTTAAATTTCAACAGAAGACCTCGTGTTCTTAATGTATATGTAAAAGTATTTCAAGTAATAGTAACAATCTCATGCAGCAGTCTGTCTTATACTGGTAAAAGTGATAATACTTTAAGAGTAAATACAGATATAGTTCCTCTTTATTCACTTTCACAGTTATAATTTCTACATATTTTACCTACAGAACCTGAGGAATCTTAACATTTGTTCATATAGTCACTTGATTGTGCTTTTTGTAAAATAGAAAAGCTCTTTATAACTTTTTTCTGTTCAGCTGCCTTATCCTGATTTAAACTAAATAAATCTCTACTTTTCTAAGAATTGGAAGCAATAGAAGTAGCAGACCTTATCCTAAATTATAACTTGAAGTTTTAAAAAATAACTTCCTTTAGTTTATCAGTAGGACTGTTTTTAATATAACTGCTTTAAACTGTAAGTAAAAAATACATGCTGGTGAGAGGCTTGCTACTTTGTACAACCTTAACACAGGTCTGGAAACCTTTGGCAGTCAACTTGGCTGAATTGTAAGCATTGTGTTCTAAGGAGAGGACTATTTGTCTGACAGAAGGGGGTGAATGATTTTAATATTTAAAACTTTTTTTGTGTGTGTTTGGTTTTTTAAAGTCAGGGTTTGCTATGTGTTTAGCTCATGTTGGCCTCGAGCCTGCAGCGATCCTCCTGCCCCAGCCTCCTGAGGGCTGGGATTATGGGAGTGCACCACCTTGCTGGCTTTTCTTTGGCAGAAGTATTTGACTTGCTAAATATTTTAAGTAACTCTGCACCCCCTTGCTCTTTGCCTGCAGTCATCAAATTCTTAGTTTCAGCCCTGTGAATTAAAAATGAATTTACTTTGAAATCTTTGGGGTGTCTAATGAAAAAGTTCTTTGACACTTTGATAGGAAGCAAGAAACTGAAATTCGTAAATATTTTTATAGGTTTAAGTTCTTATTTATAACTTTATAAACATTTCAGCTTCATACTTTCATAATTTCTTTGATAATTTGCAATACTTTCTGCCAGGTTCAATTAGTTGAATTCTTCAAATGAATAGATTATTTGTATAAGAAGGTTTTAAACATGAATTACTGAAAGTTGGCATACAATTTGTTTTCTGAAAGTTGTACAGACAGTTCCTCAGTTCTATTAGGATGAACAGTTATAATTGAACAGCAAAATACAGGAAAATAAGATTGTTTTGTAATGCCTTTCAATGCTCTTTAGTCTAAGGGAGCAATAGCAATAGCTTGCAAATCATTACTTTGAAAAGAAAAAGGGTGTTGGCTAAGAATGAACTTCTAACACTAAGAGAGTTTTATTTATTTTGTGATGCTGGTAATAAAATTCACATAATGCTAATGCTTTCAGGAGAGTTATTTTAAAAATGATTTTGTGTGTTTTTAAGAAAATGAAAAACTAACTTCTTTGTTTAAGCAGTTTGGTTTTAGAAAGCTTTCTTTTCTCCTCCCTACTCCTGGCTTTAAAATGAAGCTACATTCTTAATGTCCATCTGTTCCCCCTACCCCCCATATAGGGGATTGAACTTGGGTCCTTATGCTTGCAAGGCAGGTGGTGGAACCACTGAGCTAAATCTCCGGCCCTACATTCTTAATTTTAATGAATTTTTTTATATGACTGTAAGAAATTTTTGACAGAATCTATCCCAACTCAGTGTTTGTTGTTTTTGTAGATTTTAAATGAGATAGAAAGTTTTAGGTAATTAAAACTTCAGCCTATGCTAAAAATTCAGTTAATTCTCTGTCAGTTTATAATACTGTCTTGAATTTTTGTGGAAAAGTTGCATTTAGCTCATTTGATTTTGAATAAAATAGTAGGGAAATAGGTTATAGAGGTTGTTGCTGTTCTAGAAACAGTATGACTAGAATGTAGTACATATTTTTCTCAAAGGATTTCTTAATCTAAATGGAACTTGTAAATGGTTTTCATCCCACTGGAATAACATGTATTGGATGAAACTTGTTAACATTGTGACATTTTACAAATTTTATGTTACTTCAGAGTTATTAGCAAAAATTCGCAAATGCCTATTCTTGATTGGAAAGACAATATCCCCAATATGTTATTTTCTTTTATTTCAGGTTGTTTGATTGTTTTGAGACAGAATCTCACTGTGTAACCCATACTGCCCTGTATTCTTCGTCCTTCTTCCTCAGCTTCCCACTTGCGGGGATTCCATGCATATGCCACCATGGCTGGCTTAATATCCCCAATATTTTATTTTAGTGTTTTGTTTTGGTACAGGGATCGAACCCAGGACCTGGTGCGTGCGAGGCAGGCAGCGGCACCACTGAGCTAAATCTCCAGCCCCCGAGTATTTTAAAGATTTTACATATATATTGTTTCCTTTGCCCTCACAAGTTCTAAGTACATAATTATAACATAATTTACTCAATTTTTGTAATTAAAAAAGATCAGTGAGTTTTGTTAATCATGTATTAAGTAGTTTCCTAAAAGAACTAATTTCAAAAGTATTTTAAATTTCCCTATATGGACATCTTTATTAGAAAAGCTAGTGTGGTAAATATCAACTTTTCTGAATGTAGTAATATTATCTAGTGGGTATTACACATTTGTCTTTTATAATATGACTCTTTCATTTTTTAGTCAGAAAATTGCTCTTGGAGAATGTCAAGACTATTTGGTCTTTTATTTTTAACGGTGCTAGGGATGTAACCTAGGGCCTCGAGCTTTCTTGCAAAGCCTAGAGCTTGCTTATAGCTATGTATCAGTTCCCCTATATTTAAGTGGCTTGTGTTTTTATCAGAAGAGGAAAATTTAAAGATAGTATGAGCTTGTTTTCCTTTCAAGAAGTTTTTTGTGAAAAAGGCTTCTTTTTACTAAAAAATCTCAATACAAGAGAATTGTCCTGTTTTAAGTTTTAATTGAGTTAAGTGATGGGCAGATGATGTTATTATACTGAGCCTTTCTGTTTGTATAGGTATATAAATCAAGTATCTGTTTTTAGATTTTTTTTTTGTACCAGGGATCGAACTTGGGTCCTTCCACTTGTGAGGCAGGTCACAGAACCACTGAGCTAAATCTCCGGCTCATCAAGTATCTGTTTAAAACCAAAAAAAATTTTGGTGTACTTATTAAAATCTCACTTTTTAAGAATGTAAAGCAATTATGGAGTAGAATTGTAAATCAGGATAATCATATTGGCTTGTGTACATGCCTAAAAACCAGTATGGAAAAGGAAAGTCAAGGCAAAAAAAGCAATATAATTAGAAGAATAAAATTATTTTTCCTAAATTTATCTATTTATCTATCTGTTTATTTATTTATTTTGATATCGGGGATCAAACTCAGGACCTTGCACTTGCAAGGCTGGTGGCAGAACCACTGAGCTAAATCCCGGCCCTAGAAGAATAAAATTCTTTTACTTAAAAATAATATTTGTTGAGCTAGGGCTGTAGCTCATTGTTGGAGCACTTGCCTAGTATGCACTTGGGTTTGATGCTCCAGACTACAAGCAATAGCAACACAAGAAGTATTTGTGTACTTTTTGGAAGGAATTCGTGAACCATATTTGTAGGAAATAGTGATTGATTTTTGAGTAATAACTATAGACTGAAACTATCAAAGAAGCAAAGTATTCCTTAACAGCAGCAAATACATTGTCATGAAGCCAAATATCTGGAATTTCTCAAGCATGATTTCAGTCCTTGAAATAAAGAGGAAATGTTGTTTTCTGATTATTTTAAAACCTTATTAATTCATTCCCTGGTAGGGCATCAGGTGTCTTCAGATCATGAATTTCCTGAACTAACATTGGCTGATTTGAGTTACTGAACATTGATTGTTAGCAGCTTTTTTCCTTTTTTAAAAACTAAAAAGATCTTTTCTCCCTCCCATGTTTGCTTGTAATTTTTTTTTTATTTCAGTAATTATTTTGGGGAACATTTTATGAATGTTAAAATTATATGAATATTTGTAAAACATTGCTTTGATAATACAATTTATCTTTACATAACAATTTCTTCCATTTTGATGATATTTTTTCCTCTGCCTTTTTTTTTTGGTACAGGGGATCGAACTTGGGTCTTACACTTGTGATGGCAAAACCACTGGGCCAAATCTCTGGCCCCGCTTGCTGTCTGTCTGTCTGTCTTTCTTTTCTTTTCTTTCTTTCTTCCTTTCTTCCTTCCTTCCTTCCTTCCTTCCTTCCTTCCTTTCTTTCTTTTTGTACTGGGGATTGAACTCAGGACCTTGGGCTTGTGAAGCAGGTTCGGTACCACTGAGCTAAATCTCGGGCCCTTAAAATTATAATATTTCTCTGCAGTTTTCCTGTCAAATTAAATCTTTCCAGAAAAATAAAGACAACATTAGTTTTGATTTTGAGGGGATGGTAGTATCTTAGTTACTTTCCTCTCATTTCTAAGACAAAAAACCCAACAAAGTTAAAGGAGGAAAGGTTTATTTGGCTTACAGTTTGCAGAACTTTTATTCAGACCATACTCATCTGGCTGGCAGGGTGGCAGAGGGGTAACAGGCGGAAAACAGCAAAAGCAAGAAGAGACTTTTAACAGCATCTCCCTATACCCCCTTTTATTCTGACTACTTAGAGAGGGTAACACTTACACCCTTTATCCGAGTTCACTCGGGTCTAGCATTGCACTATGAATCAGTCACACACTGTAGATTCAGCCACCTATGAAATAGCCCCACCTTATTCACGTGAGGTTTCGGGAGGATATCTAAACAGGTGGTATTGGGGATTGAATTCTAGGCTCCATGCTTGAAAGTGCCCTACTGCTGGACTGCACCTCCAGACCTTTTTAATTTTATTTGGAGACAAGGATTTGCTGAATTTCCTAGCCTTGTCTGGAACTGGCCACCCTCATGCCTCAGTCCTCCTGTCACTCAATTTCACATATTATTGACTCAGCCAGTTTGGTTTCATCTGAACCTCACTTTTTTTTTTGAGTACCTGGAGATCAAACTCAGGACCTTGTGCTTGCAAGGCAGGCATGGCCCCACTGAACTATATCCCCGGGCCTAAACCTGATTTATTTTACCCATCTTTTTCCTACTCTTTGCCCTGCATTATTTTGAAGCACATCTTAGTCATCACAACATTTCATTTGTACTAGAATTCTTTTGAAACAATGAAATATCTCAATTTTAAAATCAAAATTGTCAGCCCCCTTTCAAAAAGTCTTCAAATGTTTGTTATACGTCTGCTGGCTAGAAAGCAAGCAGCAAGCAGTCTATCTTGCCACTTTCATAATAATCTAACTAGTACTATCCAAATAATGCATATATAGTTTAAGTCCAGTGTGTTAGTGTAGGGGTATGTTAATAATACAAATAATGGGTATAATTAAGTCCAGTGTGTTAGTGTAGGGGTTTGTTAATCATGGGAGCTAAACTTTCTGGAGGAAGTGGAACTTGAATAATGAACATAGACTTATTCATATGGCAGAGCATCTCCAGAAGAACATTCCATGCATTCCATGTGGGGGATGGAAGTACCAACAGACACTTGATGATGGGGACCAGCGTGATGTGAGAGGGGTGTGAGGAGTCCCATCCCTGTGGAGTGAAATGTTAATTTGTGGGAGTGGTGACAATTTATAAGTTATATTATGAAAGATGTACTCAGAGTTTGGTTGAATTTTATCTAGCAAGCAAAAAGGAGCCAAAAGAGGTTGGTAGGGGCAAGAGATAATATGATGAAGGTGTTTTTAGAAAGATTGCTCTTTCAATAGTATACAGCATATTTTGGGATTGTCAGTTGAGTTTTGTTTGAAAAATTGAAGGCCAGCCCACCAAAGTAAGGGGTCATTCTGAGACGTATTAGGGTGGAAATTCTACAGGATTTGGAAGCTAACTGACAGTATCTCCTCTTCAGTCGCATATCCAAAAGTAATGTTAAGGTTTTGGAGCATAGAGGACAGAGGAAATGTGTTCTTTTTGTCTTCTGTGGTGAACTATAATTTGTTATCCCCACCCAGGTTTTTTTTCTTACTCTTTTTTTTTTTAGCTCTTTAAAAAATACATACATTTAATGTTGGTCTGTTTTAATGATAAGTAAAGCAATTCCAAAAATACAAACTGAACATCAGAGCCATGTGAACCACCATGATAAAATAAAACAGACATTCACAATAAGACATCTAAAGACAGTTTAGCTTGGTAAATCTTATACCAAGTATGGTAAAGAAAGAGTTACTGAAAATGTACTGCTGGTGTTCAGTTAGAATTAAAGGACTTTGGGGAAAATGAAATAATATGATACACGTGGAGTGTACATGGGATTTACATTTTCTGTTACCCCTAGATATAAACAAACATTCAAAAATCAACACAAACTCTGTGTGTTATTCAAAATATTGTAGCTACAAGAAAGGCAACTTTTAATAGCTAGGGGAAAATCAAGTTTTGGTGGAAGTAAACAGAAATGACAGTTTTTGATTTGCACTTTTGTAAAACTCATTTATACCTGATAAACCACGAACCAAATGCAGAACAATGAAGTTTTCTGCTTCTTTTGGCTATAATGTGATAAGAAAACGTCATCTTTTGAAGATGTTTAAAAAAATAAAGCAAATTTCTTTATAAACACTCAAATAATCAATTAATGGAATAAATAAGTACTGATCCACATTTTTGCCACTTTGTCATCACTACACTTTACATAGTTTTCATTTTGGCAGCAAATTCTCCCAATTTTTTTTTTATCTAAAATCCACCAATCATTTTTAAAAGTAAAATGTATAGCCACCAAAATAAGAATATTCTTCCGTTTACTCTTTGACTAAGAAACAAAACAGAACAAAACAAAAAGAAACAAGACAACTCTTAACACTGGTGATAAAAGAAACTTTTTTTTAAAACAGATAAAAATAAAGTTATCAGTTTAAATCTTGGTACATTTTATAAAAACAAGAGGTAATGTAATAAAGCAGCAGAAGCCTCAGTGGCAATATACTGTTTGTTAACCCTGTGCAGTAAAATACTTTGTTCATACTATATTCAAATATGACTAATAGTTACTACAGACATTTCAAGGAATCTTCCCCAAATCCCAGACTTACTGTTAAAAGTGACAGACATTTACAATCAAATGTGCCATGAAAACTTGAAAATGTTACTTCTGGTAGGAAATAATTTTTTGTTTGTTTGTTTTTGAGACAGGATCTCACTATGTAGTTGAGACTGACCTGGAACTCACTATGTAGCCCAGG